GGAAAGAGAATAAATCTTAAATGAGCGTTTTCCCTTTTGTCGTATATGCCTTTATGTCATGTTTTCTCTTATCAGCAATGTGCAATTCTTTCATCGAGAGGAATAAAATTGCTGCATGTGAGTTTTGTATGGTACATAGCGTGCGAATTGTGACCTAGGAATGTTGTGATTCCTGGCCTACCTGAGGAGGTGGCAGCAAAGCCATAATTTTCCATTTGGGCAATGCTCTGTGAGCGAAATTCGCTTCTACCACACATCTCGGATATGTGCTGGATGACTTTAATGGGCGTGGACAAGATCATAGTGAAGTTTAATTTAGCTGAACAAGAACTCTACACCAGAGAGGGGACCGTACATTTTAGGAGCCTCTGACAGGCACACAGGATGAATGGTGTTGTGTCGCCCGCATTAGCGTGCACTCAGCTCACCTGAGGATCTAGTTCAAATGCAGACTCTGATCCAGGCAGTCTGCGGTGGGCCTGAGACTGTCTTTCTAACAGGCCTTAGGGATACCCAAGCTGCTGGCTCAGAAACCACACTCTAAGAAGCAAGGACCTAGAGAATACTTAAAACAATAAAAACAAATGTGATTGTATGTCTGGTTCCCTCGCTCTTCAAATTACCCGACTTTTTAAAATTTACTCCCGTATTAATCACATCCCTGCTACATAACAACACGGTGCATTTAAAAAGGAAAGAAAAAGAAGGGGAAAGATGCTTTAAGCTTATTGGTCAAATACCACAGTATTTTATTCATTGTTATCTTGCCAATGGAAATAAAATATGATACTGCATTTAAATATTATATTTATACCTCATGTATATTTTTACCTCAATTGTTGGTATCAATCATCAATTGTAAATAAATAATTGCCAAGTCAAATAAATTTATATACATTAAATATTTCTTATTTTCTATAAAATACACGTTGATTTTCATGCTTCATCCTGTACCGCGAGGAAGACTTCCCTCTAAGATAGCTGGCTCTGAGCTCTGCTCCGCTGTACCGTCGTCACTATCGCTCCCAAACATCAGAATGTTCTTAGCCACAGACATTCGGCAACAGCCTGGGTGCCCCGACCTGTGCCTAAGGCCTAAAGTGATAGGTAGAGATTTGTTTTACATTTTATTGATCTTAAATCTGCAAGTTAGTCAAACACATTCACAGTATTTTTATCAGAGAGTAATGTGAACTCATTTTCATCGAGCGGACGAGAAATCGAGACTTGCGAAGTGACGTGGCTGACTCCCAGACCGCGGAGAGTTCAGTGCTTTGCTTCTGAAAGATAACCAGGGCAGCCAGTGACCACGTGAGCGGGAGCTCCTCCACGCTCCTCGCTGCAGGCTGCAAAGGCGACATCAGGCACAATCTCCACATGCCTCCGTGGAACTCATCCGCTCTCTGCTCTCTGCTCACCTCCCTCACGCCTTCTCGCATGACTCGCAAGTTTTGCTTTCATGGGCAAGAGAGGAATCACCGGTGTTTGTACACAGTCCCAGCCTCTCTGCACAGATCCAAGAATGAATGGGGAAGCACCGTGTGCAGAGAGTTTGGGAAGCACCGTGTGCAGAGAGCAGGCAAATTTGCAAATACAGGATCTGCGAATAATGAGACTGGATGTATAAACGATACTCAGTGATAATTACTGTAAAATCTGTGAAGCCCAGAGTCAACCGTGACTCCAGGGATGTCAGGGGAGTGGTAGAACAGCACATGGAAATCCCAGTGTCGGGGGAAGGGACAGGCATCATAGGGAGCTGGGTGTGGCCAAAGCAGAGGGTCAGAGAGCATACACGGTCAGCGTGAGGGAGGCAGGAGATGGATCCCAATGGCCACAAGCCAGGAATTTTTAAGCTACTGGGACTTTGGACTTTATTTGATGAGCAGATTAGAGCCCAAAAGGGAGACGTGAAATCAGATTTCTTTTGATGGCAGACACTTAAAATGGGCTAAAACAGAACGGGCATATTACGAAGCCCACGTATGCAGGAGAAGGAGTACAAAGATACCCTCTCTTCCTTTTGATTTCTACATAGACAGAAATAAATAAAATCATTGATACCACTGACTTTCCTGAGCTGATACTAATAATCCGTGATAACCTGCCTTTCTGGTTGTGGAAGGGTGGGGAGGTGGAATTATCTTAAGATGATTCCAAGTGTTCTAGCTTAAAAAAAAAGATGTGTGTGTTAAGTCCTTTAACTGATATAGGAGAAAAGAAGAAGGAAGAGCAGGTTTCAGATGGGTGGCAGGTTTCAGATGGGTGGCAGGCGGGCAGAAACCGTGCCGAAAGGCATGATCACTTGAGTTTTGATCATGTCGCACTTGCAATGGCCGGGAATCATCCAGGCAGAGATGCCCGGCAGCCCATTGGACATACAGATATGAAACTCACGAGCATGACCAGAGGTATGTCCATTAGTTCACTTTGGTTGTGTCATCCCTACCTCTCCTGACCACCCACTGAATGGTCCAGTGACACCAAACCACCACTTCCCATCTCTGTGACTTTGCCTTGACTTTCCCCCCATCTGATTGGTCATGCGATGGCCTATTTAGTCCTCCGACCCTAGTTGGCATTATTTCCTCCATGGACTTTCCTGGCCACACCTCTCAAATGCACCTGTTTCTTTACATATTTCTCTTATTGCATGAACCACAGCTCAATTTGCTATTTGGCAACGTATCTAACTCTCCCACCAGACTATAAGTGCTTACGGGTATGGGCTATGTCTTATTCAGCTTTGAAACTCCATCTCGTGGGACACTTTCTGCTGTATCATTCTATAAATATTGGCTAAAATGAGTGGGCATTTGAAAACTGGGCATAGAGATGCCAGGAGCCATAGAAATGAAAATCATAACCTGGGGACCCTGTTTAAAGTATTACAAAATGAATAAAATAACTTACATTTCGTGTTTCGACTACTTCAACTCTCCAATAGTACCAAAAGAAATGGAGAGTTAGCTGGTCTTCTAAGTTAAGTATGACTGTTTCCGAAATTGGCAAATGCTGAACATCTGCTTGCAGAAGCAAATAGGACAGTTTGATTAGTTCATTCATTCGCCAAATATGTATGGAGCGCTCGTTATGTTTTAGACACTATTCTAGGCTTTTAGTAAATAAAACAATGAATAAAATCAGTGAATAAAACAGACAAAAATTCCTGAGCTCATGGAGCTCATGGCCTAGTGCAGGGGTCCCCAATCCCCAGGACCGTGGACCTACAGCAGTCCGTGACCTGTTAGGAACCAGGCCTCACAGCAGGAGGTGAGTGGCGGGCAAGCCAGCCAAGCTTCATCTGTATTTGCAGCCGCTCCCCGGTGCTGGCATCACCGCCTCAGCTCCGCCTCAGATCATCGGGTGTTAGATTCTCATAGGAGAACCCATCCGTGGTGCCAAAAAGGTTGGGGACCGCTGGCGTGGAGAAAACAGCCAAGAAACAAGATAAATAACTGACCAGGTTAGCTCTACATAGAAAAACAAAACAGAGGAAAGAGATAGATTAGACGGTCAGGAAAATTTTGCTGAGGGCTTGGGGTGGAGAACTATTCGAAGCGACACTCTGTCTGAATGTTTTTGCCTCCAGCTCTCCTAGAGTTGCCAAAATTACAGTGGCGGGAATGAGCGATGAATCCGTTTGCTGAGACCTGTTCCTTGTGAAAAAAAGAAGT